TAGAGCTGCCATATGATCCAGCAATTGCATTACTGCGTATTTACCACAAAGATACAAATGTAGGGATCCGAAGGGGAACGTGCACCCCAATGTTTATAGCAGCAATGTTCACAATAGCCAAACTGTGGAAAGAGCCAAGATGTCCATCAACAGATGAATGCATAAAGAAGAGGTGGTATATATACACAATGGAATATTATGCAGCCATCAAAAGGAATGAGATATTGCCATTTGCAACGACATGGATGGAACTGGAGGGTGTTATGCTGAGTGAAATAAGTCAATCCAAGAAAGACATGTATCATATGACCTCACTGATATGAGGAATTCTTAATCTCAGGAAACAAACTGAGTGTTGCTGGAGTCATGGGGGGTGGGAGGGATGGGGTGCCTGAGTGATAGACATTGGGGAGGATATGTGCTATGGTGAGCACTGTGAATTGTACAAGACTTGAATCACAGATCTGTACTTCTGAAACAAATAATGCAATATATATTAAGAAAAAAAAAAAGAAGAGAGCAGGAGGGGAAGAATGAAGGGGAGTAAGTCAGAGGGGGGACGAACCATTAGAGACAATGGACTCTGAAAAACAAACTGAGGGTTCTAGAAGGAAGGGGGTTGGAGGGATGGGTTAGCCTGGTGATGGGTATTAAAGAGGGCACGTTCTGCGTGGAGCACTGGGTGTTATGCACAAACAATGAATCATGGAACATTACATCAAAAACTAATGATGTAATGTATGGTGATTAACATAATACTAAAAAATTTTAAAAGAAATAGAAAAGAAGGAAAATTTCCAAATTCATTATACAAGGCCAGCATTATCCTGATCCCAAAACCAGATAAAGACACTATAAAAAGAAAAGAAAACTACAGGCTGATATCTCTAGTGAATATAGATGCAAAAATCTTCAACAAAATACTAATAAACCAATTCCAACAATACATTAAAAGATCATTCTCCTTGATCAAGTGGGATTTATTCCTGCTGTCTTAGGTGGTTCAGTATTCTCAAATCAGTGTGATACATCATATCATCAAAAGAAAGGATAATAACCATATGATCATTTCCATAGATGCATAAAAAACATTTAACAAAGTACAACATCCATTTATGATAAAAAATACTCTCAACAAAGTAGGTTTAGAAGAAACATACCTCAACATAATAAAGGCCATTTATGAAAATCTCACAGCAAACATTAAACTCAATGAGGAAATACTGAGAGCTATCCCCCTAAGGTTAGGAATGATACAAGTGTGTCTACTGTTACCACTTTTATTCAACGTAGTACTGGAAGTCCTAGCCACAGCAGTTAGACAAGAAAAAGGATAAAAGGCATCCAAATTGGTAAGGAAGAAGTAAAGCTTTCACTCTTTGCAGATGACATGATACTATAAATAAAAAACCTTAAAGACTCCATCAAAGAAAACTACTAGAAGTGATAAATGAATTCAATAAAGTCACAGGACACAAAATCAGTATACAGAAATCTGTTGCATTTCTATACACTAATAATGAAATACCAGAAAGAGAAATTAAGAAAATAATCCCATTGTTTTTTAATAAAATACCCAAGAATAAACTTAACCAAGGTAGTGAAAGACCTGTATTCTGAAAACTATAGAAACTGATGAAAAAATTGAAGATGACACAAACAAATAGAAAGATATTCCATGGTCATGGATTAGAAGAACAAATATTGTTAAAATGTCCATACTACCCAAAGCAATCTACAAATTTAATGTAATCCCTATCAAAATAGCAACAGCATTTTTCACAGAACTAGAATAAATAAATAAATAAAATCCTAAAATTTATGTGGAACTCTGAACAACTAAAGTTATTCAAAATTTTGTTAAAGAAGACGTAACTGGAGGTATCACAGCCCCAGATTTCAAGATATACTACACAGCAGTATTAATCAAATCAGTATGGGACCGGCAAAAAAATAGACACATAGATCAAGGGAACAGAATAGAGACCCCAAAAATAAACCCGTAATTATATTGTCAAGTAATCTATGACAAAGGAGACAAGAATATACAATGGGAAAAAAGGCTCTTCAACAAATGGTGTTGGGAAAACTGGACAGCTATATGCAAAGGAGTGAAACTGGACCACTTTCTTATACCATATACAAGAATAAAGTAAAAATGGATTAAAGACCTAAATGTAAGACCTGAAACCTTAAAATTCCTAGAAGAAAACATAGGCAGTAACCTCTTTGATATCAGCTGTAGAAATATTTTTCTAGATATGTCTCCTGAGGCAAGGGAAACAAAAGTAAAATTAAACTATTGGGACTACACAAAAATAAAAAGCTTTCATACAGTGAAGGAAACCATCAACAAAACAAAAGGACAACCCACTGAATGGGAGAAGATATTTGCAAATGATATATCCAATAAGGAGGTAGTATCCAAAATATATAAAGAACTTATACAATTTAACACCAGAAAAACAGATAATCCAATTAAAAATGGGCAGAAGACATGAAAAGACATTTTTCCAAAGAGGACACACAAAGGCCAACAGATATATGAAAAAATGCTCAACATCACTCATCATCAGGGAAATGCAAATCAAAAACACAATGAGATATCACTTCAAACCTGTCAGAATGGCTAAACTTGAAAACTCAAGAAAAAACAAGTATTGGTGAGGATCTGGAGTAAAAGGAAGCTTCATGCACTGTTGATTGAAATGTACCTGGCACACCTGCTGTGGAAAACAGTATGGAGACTCCTCAAAAAATTACAAATAGAATTACCATATGATCCAGTAATCCAACTACTGGGTATTTACCCAGAGAATACTAAAACACTAATTCAAAAAGATATATGCACCCCTATGTTTATTGTAGCATTATTTACAACAGGCAAGATATGGAGCAACCTGTGTGTTCTTTGCTATATATATAATGGAATATTACTCAGCCATATAAAAGAATAAAATCTTGACATTTGCAACAACATGGATGAATCTGGGTGGTATAATGCTAAGTGTAATAAGTCAATTAGAGAAAGACAAGAAATATATGATTTCACTAATATGTGGAATTTAAGAAACAAAAAAAGAAAAAAGATACACAGAGGCACATTCTTAAATATAGAGATCAAATGAGTGGTTGCCAGAGGGGAGGTGAGTGGGGATATGTGTAAAATAGGTGAAAGTGTTTAAGAGTAGACTTATCACGAGGTGCCTGGGTGGTTCAGTCAGTTAAATGTCCAACTCTTGATTTCAGCTCAGGTCATGATCTCAGGGTTGGAGATGGAGCCTGCTTAAGATTTTCTCTCTCCCTCTCCCTCTACCCCTCTCCCCACTTCTGCTCATGTATGCATTTTCTCTAAAAATGTATTTTTAAATAGTATACTTATCATGATAAGCACCAGGTAATATATAGAATTGTTGAATCATTATATCATACACCTGAATCTAATATAACACTGTATGTTGATTATACTTGAATTAAAAAATAAATTTAAAAAATATTTTTAAACATAGTGATGGGAAAAGAATATTCTCATACATTGTTTATAGGAATGTAAACTGGTACAAGCCTTAGGAAAAGGTAACTTGGAGATAGATGGAGAGAGAGAGAGATAAAGGGAGAGATAGAGAGCTTTCACAGTACCTAAAAAGAAATAAGGGCATATAATGCTGTTTAGAATATTTTTGTTCGGTGGTAGCACAGAGGGTCATTAATTAAGTTGGATAATTTATTATGCATTTAAAATGTTTATAATGAACTTATATTATCTGTATAATCATAAAACTATTCTAAGAAACATAGGAACAGGAAAGAAAAACAGTCAGCAAATATAAAGCATTTTTAAATGCCAGATTATTAAAAGACATAAGTTCCCTAGGAAATTGGGTTTTCTAGCCAGGGGAAGTTTCCCAAAAGAGCTAGGTTATAACAGATTCTGATAAGCTGAGAGAATGGCTGAAGACATTTTAGGCAGGCAAAATAGAGGTGAGAATCCAAATGGTGAATCAGCCTGGCTAGAGTTTACATAGGGCAGAAGCCATAAATTGGCAGCCCTCAGCCATGTGTTCTTTTGCCAAAACAGGGTTTTATTAGTGGCCAGCATCAAAAAATGGAAAGATTTTATATAGAAATCTGAATTTCTGGCTTCTCTTGAAAAAATGAAAATTCTGGCAACACTGGGATTGCAATTGCCACATAGCAATAAGCAGCTTAAGTTTAGCCACAATCTATATACCCTAGGTGGGAAATTTGCTTCCCAGTTCACCACAGTCCTCACTTAGCCAGATTCACTAATTTGCATTACCATCCTAATGCTTATGGTCATTTGAGTTTGTAAATCCTCCACAGGAAATCAGTGATAGGAGAGAAGGTTGAAGAGAGAGCTTTGGGTAGACTATATGGCCCTAAATTTAATACTTACAGAATTTAGATCTTATTTAATAAGCACCAGACAACTATTGAAGCTTTTTGAGTGGATGAGTAACAACAATATTAAGAGCTGAATATTGGAAAGCCTAAACAGTATACAACTTGCAGAATAAATTTGAGGTTGAAAAAAAATTTTTTTGTAAGAGCCTCAGTGTGAAGAGAGATCTTTGAAGAGTAGTTTTAAGGGGAAAAAAGAGGAAGGTTACACACAAAAGTGAACAACTGAATAAATTTCTTAACTGAATCTTTATGTGGAGCAAGAGGAAAAGATAAAAAACCAAAAGAGTAAGAAGTCTTAGGGAAAAGAAAGGCTAAGGTAATTGAATGAGCATGGGTGAGGAGGAAAATGATGTTGTTACAGAGGCAGAAGGAATCTAGGAAAATGCAATAAGCTCATATAAACTTTTTAAAAAAGATTTTATTTATTTCATAGAGAGAGAGAGAGCACACAAGCAGGGGTTGCAGCAGAGGGAGAGAGAGAAGCAGGCTCTCCACTGAGCAGGGAGCCTGATGAGGGGCTTAATCACAGGACCCTGGGATCATGACCTGAGCTGAAAGAAGACACTTAACCAACTGTGCCACCCAGGTGCCCCAATTGATGTAAACTTTTATCAATTTGTTTTTGCATCAAAATGCAGGACCATGTCTTATTCTTCCCTGAATCTTTAGCATCTAGCACGGGGTCTAGAATTTAAAAAAAAAATCATATCCACTAAATGCTACTTGAATCCAATATAATTTAAGGTACTATAGCAAGATATACATGTAAAAATATTGAAAATGATAGGCTAGAGCTCAGAAAACAGGTTACAGGCAGAAACAGTTCTGGGAGTCATCCACATGAATAAGAGAATAGAAGATATAAAAGAAGGTTAAGGTTACTTAGTGGAAATTGAGATGAAGAAGAGAGCACAGTGACTAAAACTCAGAGAACAGCCAGACTGAAGAGATGGAAAGAAATCAGGGAGGAAAACAAAAGAGGAAAAGTGAACAAAGTAAGAAGAGATCCAGGATGATAGAAAGCCAAATGGAGAAAGGACTGCTAAGATGATGGAGTTGGGTGTATCACCATGGATAAATTAGACAAACATAATATAAAAGCAACTCATAGAAGTCTGATTCAATTTATATAAAGATTAAAGAAAACAGATAAAACCTAGAAATATATATATAAAGATGTATGTATAAGCATGCCATGTTTATGGTAAAATTATTTTTTAAAAAGCAAGAAAATAATTAATATAAAATTCAAATCAGTTATTATTTGGGGGATGGGGATGGAGGAGGAAGTAGGGAAGAGGAATCAAGGTAGGCAAATGTTCCATTTCTTAATCTGGAGATTATGTATTTGTTATGTTATTATTTAAACTGCCCATATTTCAAAAGAGAGGGAGCTTGGTAGCATTTCCAAATCCAGAAATTCTCCTATGGGTATATTATAAAAGCAATCAAATACAAATACTTTTGCTTTATAAGCATGTTCACTATAACACTATGATTTGGATACAACCAAAACATGCAACAGTTGGAGACCAGTTAAATAAGCTATGATTCATCCTTACAGGGGAAAATTACTCAGTCATTTTTTAAGGAGGTAAATCTGTATATACCAAAATGGAAAGGTCTACAAGACATATTTTTAAGTGGAGAAAGCATCTACATAAGAAATTATATATAATATGATCCTATTTGTATTAAAAAGTATTTGATTATACATAGAAAATTTCTGGAAGGTTATATAATAAACTGTTACAGTTATTACTTTCTGGGAGTAGAAATGAGGAATCCAGAGCAGGGCTGGGAAACTTTTATACTTTTAATTTTACACTTTCCAAAATATCACCCAGTGAAATTTGGTTTAACCATGACAAAGTTGAAGAAGGAGTAAGGAAAAGGAGAAATACTAGGACAAGTCATTATATTTGATTATTTCAAAGTCACTAGAAACCCTGACTAGAATAGTTTCTCTAGAGTGGTGGGTACAAAAGATAGACTGCAGATAAAGGAAATCATAGTAATGAGTAGGTTATCCCTTTTAAAAATATGAATATAAAAGGAGAAAGAAACAGGATGGTTGCTAGCGAGAATAACAGATAATTTAAGGGCTCATTTAGGCCAGGTTTTCTATTATTGTGATTTTCAAGGGCTTGTAGAGCTGAGCTTGTTTATAGATAATGGGGAAAAGTGGAGAGAGAGATTGAAGATGGTATAGGAGAGAGTCTTAAAGATTCAAAACAAAGTCAAGATTGGGGAGAGAATAACATGAAGTGTTTAAGGGAGCAACTGAAAGAAGACACTGATGGACAGGCTGTCCCTTGAGATTAATATTGCAAGAGCATGAACTTGGAGACTTCTGGGAGGGACAGCTGATGTCTGGGGCAGCAGAGTATCAAATAGGATGAGCACAGGAAAGCACTATCTTGATATGGACAAAAGAGGGTTTTTTTTTTTAATGCAAGGAAAAAATTTCATGAGGAAGAAAAGTCAAAAGTGAACTCTAAGAGATCAAGGAGAAAACCAGAAAAAAAGAAATCTAGGTTGAGAAACTCAAAAGTATGTCATTGATCTTGGAGATAAAGGGGAAGGGAGAAAATACATGTCTCTACAAATGACACTTCATTTAGAGGAGAATCAATGGCACACCAGGTTAGATTCTAAACTATATAATTTATTACTATTACTATTATTAATTATATTTTAGAGTGAAACATGCACACTTAAAAATAAGTTTCCACAAAGTTTTCTTCAAGCATTTGGATATTTTGACACTGTACTGTTTCTACTTCCTCCAGGGCACTTTGGTAATGGCCCCTGGGCAGGCCTCTGGAGTCTGGCTCACGGAGAGGCTTTGGCTCCAGATGTAAGGAACTCTAAGCTCAGAATGGAGCAAGCTCTGTTTAAATGAAGCACTCCACATTTTCCCTTCCTTGTCTGAGAGGCTAGAAGATAAACCCAAATGTCCCTTTTTTATAGAAACAATCTCCTCCTTGGCCTCTCAAGACAAGCTTCTGTTGAAAACTCTATCGAGGCTGCCCTTCCTGGCCTTTGTTTCTCAGATTCAAGATTTATCTTCCAATAATGATTTTTACTTCTTTGACCTATTTTTCAACAAAATGCATCTCTTTTTTCCCTATTTTCACATACAGGGGCTTTATTTTTATGATAGACTGAGTCTCCTCACAATATCATGCATGGCATGATACTTAAAAAAAATCTAATGTGATATGACAGACAGCACAGCCAGAAAAAGCCAAAAAGAAAATTTCAATGTGACCTTTCTTAATCACTGACAGAAAACTACATGACAATTTCCTTAAATCTAAAGAATTTCATGAGATGAAAGAGGCTAATAAGTAGAGTAAAACTGACTAGTCAATTGGAAAAAAATATCCTGATGAGACCATACACTTCCTAATGATACATATAAAAAAAACCCACTTTATTTATACACTACAAATGGTTGATTACAGGCAATAAAATGCGTAATTGGGCCAAAAGGATATGAAGTATATTTGGATATCATATTCCTTCTGTCAAGAATAAACAGACTGAGGGAAGCTGGGTCCAACTAGTCAGTACCAGAAGCAGCTGTCTGTGCTACAAAATGGTTAGAGTATGATAAAATTCTTAGGTAAAAGGCCCCAAATCCTATTTCAATTAGAATGACCTCCTGGCTTTCTGAGTTTTTTAAGATAAAGGTAGTTCTTGAGTTTTATAGGTCTTATGAAGAGGTCATATGATTGGGAATGTGCCAACTTCCAGGCAGCATAGTCTTTAAGTATTACTAGGTCAGAATATATAAGTGGAAAGAAACAAATCATGTATCAGGACATTCAATAGCCATCATTTGTAGATTCCATATTTTCAAATTTGAACCCTCACTTAAATTTATTTGTAACCCCAAATCAATATTCACAGAGCTTTTTCAGTCATTTGCAGACATATGCATGCATAGATCAGTGAAAAATTTGAGTGTCCCACACACATGTTCCCTTCTGAGGTTGAACAAGGTGACATCTAGCCTCCTTGTTTCAGCTCTCATCCTGTAAACAATGTCCATGTTATATATAATGCCACATTTCTTGCATTTTTTATAGATTTTTGGTAATTCCACTGTTTTATATGGCCCTTAAATATAGTACTGGTACTATCTAGTATGCCTAAGCTTAAGGAGGCTGTAATATACCTTATGGAGAAATAACATGTGTTAGATAAGCTTTATTCAGGTATGAGTTATAATGCTATTGACCTTTAATATTAATGAATCAATAACATTTATTAAATTAAGTGTTTAAAAACTGAAACATGCATAAAACAAGGTTATTTGTTGATTTATTGACAAAAATGTGGCCAGAGGCTCACAGGAATTTAACCCTGTATTTCCTCTAGAGGTAATAATTGAATACTCATTAATTCAGTATGCAGTAACTTTAAAGAATTTAACTCCCATAAGTAATGAGAAACAACCGTATTTTCCCAAATTCTGATCCTGTCCAAGAAACACCAGAGAGAAGAAGGTGTCTATAAGAGTCAGGAATCCAACATCACTCATTTTCTTATTGGTCTGGTAAATGAGAATGTCAATTATAAAGACACATCATAGCAAAATATTAATGAAAAGGAATATCTGTAAGAGATGATTGATGAATGAAAAAAAAATGTTTAGGCCAGTGCTTGACACATAACATTTGAATATGAATGTAAAAACTTATTTCCAATTTCACTACCAAGATACATTGGAAATCAGTAGCCTGAAAAATTGTTGGAGCCCATGTAGAGCTGGCAACAGTTTATATTACCACCAGCAAGAATAGAAAGACCTTGTGATATATTGATCATAGGATGGTCCTCAGAGATCTATTGCCTTAGAATTGTGGCTAACTTAGCTCTATACCCATGCTAGCAAAGCTGAAAAGCAAAATGATCAAACTGATTCCATGTAACATAACTATACGGTGGAAAAAAGATCCCAAGACTCTTTAAATAAATGCAATACCTACCACTTAGCAATATAAAATTCACAAAATCTGGCAAGCATTGCATTACAATAAAAAATTGCTAAGCTTAAAAAAAAGCAGAGAAATATAACCAATGACCAGGAGAAAAAAATCAAAGGACACTCAAAATTTATAGAAATTAATGGAAATAGCAGACAAAGGTTCTTTAAGTGTACATATACTCAACATTTTCAAGAAGATAAAAGAAACCATGTACATACAAAGGAGAGAATGGAAAAATAAAAATAAAAAAACAGATGATATTATTTAATAATAAGAAAGGCAATACACTGGATTATACAGATAAAAAGACACTGCAGAAAAAAAGAAAAGTGAACTTGAAAACATAGTAATAGAAACTATACAAAATAGGAGAGAAGGATGGCAAAGGAGTAGGGGACCCTATTTCAACTGGTCCCTGGAATTGAGCTGGATATCTACCAGACTACTCTGAGCACCCACGAAATCAGCCTAAGATGTAAGAAAATAGATCTGGATCTCTACAAACAGAATATCACAGGCGGTTGGTTTCGAGGTATGAAGTGGTGAGCCGTGATTCCACAGGCAGATATCAGAGGATAAACAGCAGTGGGAGGGAGACTGGCCGTGGGGATCCTGCACTGCCAGTGAGTGATAGCCTCATGTGCTGGGGATGGGCCACAGACTCACGGACCGGTAGCGGTGGGGAAAGGACTTTAGGGCAGCCCCCGGGACAGAAACCAAGAGTGGTGGGGTCACACGAATGAAATGGGAATGGCTAGCGGTTTTAGAAGCACAATGGGCAGAGACATGCCCCGACCTGGAGGCAGGACTGGGAGCGCTGCAGAGAGGTGCACAACCCAGGATGCTGTAGTTTATAGCAGCACAGAGAGAAATGGAGATAGTGTGGCCTGGAGAGCTCACTGAAGAACAGACTACAATCTCTCTGCTCTGAGGCAGAGGGTTGGAAACAGTCTCTTCTGCTCTGATTCTCGGAAGAGAAATGGAAAGCCGCCAGAGAACAAAAGCCCCAGTAAACTGATTCCCACTGAGCCCATCCCCCACCACAGGGGGGCAGGGCAACTATGCCCAAACAGGGTTGCCTGAGTAACAGCATGGCAGGCCCCTCCCCCAGAAGACAGGCTGGGAGAACAAGAGGTCAGCAACCCTAAGGTCCCTAGAAAACAGGTGCATTTTGCTTGGGTTCTGGCCAATAATTTGAACTCTGTACAATCCCTCAACCACCCATCAACAGAATGACTAGGAGGAGGAGCCCCCAAAATAGGAAAGACTCAGAGATTATGATTTATGTCACAGATTTACAAATAGATGCAGATATAACCAAGATGTCAGACATGGAATTAAGCCTAGCAATTGTGAAGACAATAGCTAGAATGGAGAAATCAATTAATGACAACATAGAGTCTCTAAGGGCAGAAATGAAAGCTGAATTGGCAGAACTTAAAAATGCTATCAATGAGATCCAATCTAATTTAGATAATCTAACAGCTAGGGTAAGTGAGGCAGAAGAACAAATAAGCAACCTGGAAGACAATTTAATAGATAAAAAGGGAAAAGAGGAGGCCAGAGAAAAACAACTCAGAATCCATGAAAATAGAATCAGAGAAATAAGTGACACCATGAAGCGTTCCAATGTCAGAATAATTGGAATCCCAGAGAGAGCTCTAGAAGATGTATTTGAGCAAATCGTAGTTGAAAACTTCCCTAATCTGGGGAATGAAACATTCATGTCCTAGAGGCAGAGGACCCCTCCCAAGATCAAGGAAAACAGGCCAAAACCCCAGCATGTAGTAATAAAACTCACAAATCTTAGAACCAAAGAAACCATCTTAAGGGCAGTTATGGGGAAAAGATTCCTTATGTACAGAGGGAGGAATATCAGAATAACATCAGACCTATCCACAGAGACCTGGCAAGCCAGAAAGGTCTGGCAAGACATATTCAGGGTACTAAACGAGAAGAACATGCAGCCAAGAATACTTTATCTGGCAAGGCTGTCATTTAGAATGGATGGAGAGACACAGGGCTTCCAAGACAGGCATAAACTGAAAGACTATGTGACCACTAAGCCGGCCCTGCAAGAAATATTAAGGGGAGGGGGGGTTCTATAAAAGGAGAAAGACCCCAAGAATGATATACAACAGACATTTACAGGGACAATCTATAAAAACAAGGTCTTCATAGGCAACATGATGACAATTACTTCATATCTTTCAATAATCACTCTCAACGTAAACGACCTAAATGCTCCCATAAATTGGCACAGGGTTGCAGATTGGATAAAAAGACAGGACCCATCCATATGCTGTCTACAAGAGACTCATTCTGAACCTAAAGACACATCCAGACTGAAACTGAAGGGATGGAGATCCATCTTCCATGCCAGCAAACCTGAAAAGAAAGCTGGGGTAGCAATTCTTATATCAGACCAATTAGATTTTAAACTAAAGCCTGTAGTTAGAGACACAGAAGGACATTATATCATTCTTAAAGGGTCTATCCAACAAGAAGATCTAACAATTGTAAATATCTATGCCCCCAACATGGGAGCAGCCATCTACATAAGCCAACTATTAACCAAAATAAAGTCATATTGATAACAATACGTTAAATGTAGGAGACCTCAATACTCCACTCTCAGCAACAGACAGATCATCTAAGCAGAAAATCAACAAGGAAACAAGAGCTTTGAATGATACACTGGACCAGATGGACCTCATAGATATATACAGAACATTCCACCCTAAAACAACAGAATGCTCATTCTTTTCGAGTGCACATGGAACTTTCTCCAGAATAGACCACATACTGGGTCACAGATCAGGTCTCAACCGATACCAAAAGATTGAGATTATTCCCTGCATATTCTCAGACCACAATGCTTTAAAACTGGAACTCAATCACAAGAAGAAATCTGGAAGAAATTCAAACACTTGGAAGCTAAAGACCACTCTGCTCAAGAATGTTTGGGTCAACCAGGAAATCAAAGAAAAACTTAAACAATTTATGGAAATCAATGAGAATGAAAACACATTGGTCCAAAACCTATGGGATACTGCAAAGGCAGTCCTAAGGGGGAAATATATAGCCATCCAAGCCTCACTCAAAAAAAAAAAAAAGAAAAGAAAAATCCCGAATTCACCAACTAACTCCTTAAAGAACTAGAGAAAAAGCAACAAATGATGCCTAAGCCACACATTAGAAGAGAAGTAATTAAGATTAGAGCAGAGATCAATGGATTAGGAACCAGAAACACAGTAGATCAGATCAACAAAACTAGAAGCTGGTTCTTTGAAAGAATTTATAAGATCAATAAACCACTGGCCAGACTTATCCAAAAGAAAAGAGAAAGGACCCAAATTAATAAAATTATAAATGAAAGGGGAGAGATCATGACTAACACCAAGGAAATAGAAACAATTATTAGAAATTATTCTCAACAACTATATGCCAATAAACTGAGCAGTCTGGATGAAATGGAGGCCTTCCTGGAAACCTGTAAGCTGCCAAGACTGAAACAGGAAGAAACTGACAACCTGAATAGGCCAAAAACCAGTAATGCGATTGAAGCCATGATCAAAACCTCCCAAAAAACAAGAGTCCAGGGCCTGATGGACTCCCTGGGGAATTCTACCAAACATTCAAAGAAGAAATAATACCTATTCTACTGAAGATGTTTCAAAAAATAGAAACAGAGGAAAACTTCCAAACTCATTCTATGAGGCCAGCATTACCTTAATCCACTAACCAGGCAAAGACCCCATCAAAAAGGAGAATTTCAGACTGATATCCCTTATGAATATGGATTCCAAAATCCTCAACAAAATTCTAGCTAATAGGATCCAACAATACAGTGAAACGATCATCCACCATGACCAAGTGGGATTTATCCCCGGGATGCAAGGGTGGTTCAACATTCGAAAATCAATCAATGTGATAGAACACATTAATAAGAGGAGGGAGAAGAACCACATGATCCTCTCAATTGATGCGGAAAAAGCATTTGACAAAATACAACATCCTTTCCTGATTAAAACTCTTCAGAGTATAGGGATAGAGGGAACATTCCTCAAGTTCATAAAATCCATCTGTGAAAAACCCACAGCGAATATCATTCTCAGTGGGGAAAAGCTGAGAGCCTTTCCCTTAAGATCAGGAACACGTCAAGGATGCCCACTCTCACCACTATTGTTCAACATAATACTGGAAGTCCTAGCAACAGCAATCAGACAACAAAAAGAAATAAAATGTCTTCAAATTGGCAAAGAAGAAGCCAAACTCTCTCTTTTCACAGATGACATGATACTTTATGTGGAAAACCCAAAAGACTCCACCCGCAAATTACTAGAACTCATACAGCAATTCAGAAATGTGGCAGGATACAAAATCAATGCACAGATATCAGTTGCTTTCTTATACACTAACAACGCAACTGTAGAAAGAGAAATTAGAGAAACGATTCCATTTACAATAGCACCAAAAACCCTAAGATACCTTGGAATAAACCTAACCAAAGAGGAACAGGATCTATACCCTAGGAACTACAGAACACTCATGAAAGAAATTGAAGAAGACACAAAAAGATGGAAAAACATTCCATGCTCATGGATCGGAAGAATAAACATTGTTAAAATGTCTATGCTACCCAGAGCAATCTATACCTTCAATGCCATCCCGATGAAAATTCCAATGACATTTTTCAAAGTGCTGGAACAAACAATCCTAAAATTTGTATGGAATCAGAAAAGACCCCGAATCGCCAAGGAAATGCTGATAAAGAGAAACAAAGTTGGGGGCATCACGTTGCCCAATTTCAAGCTATATTACAAAGCTGTGATCACCAAGAGCATGGTACTGGCACAAAAACAGACATATAGACCAATGGAACAGAATAGAGAACCCAGATATGGACCCTCAACTCTGTGGTCAAATAATCTTTGACAAAGCAGGATAAAACATGCAATAGAAAAAAGACAGTCTCTTCAACAAATGGTGCTGGGAAAATTGGACAGCCACATGCAGAAGAATGAAACTTAACCACTCTCTAACACCATACACAAAGATAAACTCAAAATGGATGAAAGACCTCAATGTGAGACAAGAATCCATCAAACTCCTAGAGGAGAACATAGGCAGTAATCTCTTTGACATCGGCCGCAGCAACTTCTTTCAAGATACATCTCCAAAGGCTAGTGAAACAAAAGCAAAAATGAACTTTTGGGACTTCATCAAGATAAAAAGCTTCTGCACAGCAAAGGAAACAAACAGTCAGCAAAACAAAGAGGCAACCCACAGAATGGGAGAAGATATTTGCAAGTGACACTACAGATAAAGGGCTGGTATCCCAACATCTATGAAGAACTTCTCAAACTCAACACCCAAAAACAAATAATCAAGTCAAAAAATGGGCAGAACACATGAACAGACACTTCTCTGAAGAAGACATACAAATGGCTAACAGACACATGAAAAAATGTTCAACATCATTAGCCATCAGGGAAATTCAAATCAAAACCACATTGAGATACAACCTTACACCAGTTAGAATGGGAAAAATGGACAGGGAAAGAAACAACAAATGTTGGCGAGGTTGTGGAGAAAGAGGAACCCTCATACACTCTTGGTGGGAATGCAAGTTGCTACAGCCACTTTGGAAAACAGTATGGAGGTTCCTCAAAGATTGAAAAATAGAGCTACCCTATGACCCAGCAATTGCACTCCTGGGTATTGACCCCAAAGACACAGATGTAGTGAAAAGAAGGGCCATATGCACCCCAATGTTCATAGCAGCAATGTCTGCAATAGCCAAACTGTGGAAAAAGCTGCAATTCCCTTTAACAGATGAATGGATAAAGAAGATGTGGCCCATATATACAATGGAATATGACTCAGCCATCAGAAAGGATGAATACCCAACTTTTACATCAACACGGATGGGACTGGAGGAGATTATGCTAAGTGAAATAAGTCAAGCAGAGAAAGTCAATTATCATATGGTTTCACTTATTTGTGGAACATAAGGAATAGCATGGAGTACATTAGGAGAAGGAAGGGAAAAATGAAGGGGGAGGAATCGGAGGGAGAGATGAACCATGAGAGACTATGGACTCTGAGAAACAAACAGTGTGTCATAGGGGAGTGGGGAGGGGGGATTGGTTAGCTTGGCGATGGGTATTAAGGAGGGCACGCACCGCATGGAGCACTGGGTGTTATACGAAAACAAGGGATCGTGGATCACCACATCAAAAACTAATGATGTATTATATGGTGACTAACATAACATAATAAAATTTTTAAAAAAAACTGAAAACAAATACTGAACTCTAAAAAAAAAGAAAGAAACTATACAATAAAGAACAAATAACAGAAAGAATGGAAAGATAATCATATCTTCAGTGACATATAACAATATCAAGTAGTCCAATATATATGCATAATTGGAGTCCCCCCAAAATTGGGGGGATAAAAAATATTTAAAGAAGTGATGGTCAAAATATTTCCAAATTTTATTAAAATCATAAATGCAGACCAAGAAGCTCAAAAAATCCCAAGCAGAAGAAACATAAAGGCACATCATAATCAAATTGCTGAAAACCAGAGATAATGAAAAAAATCTCATGAAAAGCCAGAAAAAAAAGATACATACATATGTATGTATATGTATATATCAAAGATAAGAATGACATCACACTTCTAGTCCAAAGCCCTGGAATCCAGAAAATAATAAAGAGACATTTCCAAAGCACTGGAAGAAAACAAACAAGGAAAAATTATCAACCTAGAATTCTATACCAAGAGAAAATGCTTTTTTAAAAAAGACCAAATGTTGACTTTTTAGACAAAGAAAAGTTGGAAAAATCCATCACCACTAAATTGCAGTACAAGACATATTATAGGAACTTCTTCAGCCAGAAGAAAATTATATCAGATAGAAATCTGTATCCACCTAAAGAATGAAATGCCAAAAATGGTAATATGGGTAAATAAAAATGTATTATAATTTTAAATATCCTTATTAGATAATTGACTATATAAAGCAAAAAAAAAAACCTAATGTATTGTGGGAGTGATAACAAATAAAAATAAAATTATGAAATAATAACATAAAGGATGGGAGGGAAATAAAAGTATACCCTTGTAGATTTTTATATCTTACACAAAATTATGTATTATTTGAAGATATACTGTGATAGCATAAAATGCTATTTTATACACCAACGACATTACTAAAAACATATGAAAGAGGTATAGCTAATAAAAGTATATAAATAAAGTGGAATTGTAAAACAAAAACAACACATTCTCCAAATAAGTCAGGAGGAAAAAAAGGAATAAAGAAGAGAAATAGAAAAGAAATAAAGACGAAAGTTTTAAGTGAAACTGCACTGATAATTATTACATATAAATTGTCTAAATACTCCAAATGAAAGACAGATATTTAGATTGATTAATCAAGACCTAATTATATGGAAGAACTTAGTACAAACATAGAGACAGATGTGTTAAAAGCAAAACAGACAATGATGTACCATGCAAATGCAAATCAAAAGAAAGCTGGAGTAGATTTTAGAAAAAGAAATATCACTAGGGATATCACCAGGATGTAAAAGAGAGACATTTTATAATGACAAAGGTGTCAATTCATTAAGAAGATATAGCAGTCTTAAATGTGTATGTATCTAACTATAGAGATTTAAAATAAATAAAGCAAAAACCAAAAAGTAAAATAAATTAATTTTAGCTGGAGATTTCAACACTCTTATCTCCATTATTAGTAGAACAAGTAGACAATCAGTAAGGATATAGGTGGCTTGAACAATACTATTAACCAAATTGGCCTAATGAAAATTAATAAAATGTTCTACTAAACAATAGCAAAATACACATTCCTTTCAAATGCACATAGAATATTCACAAAAATAGACAATATTCTGAGCCATAAAACAAGTCTTAATAAATTTAAAAGGATTAAAATCATGCAACATGTTTTCTCTGATGATAATAGAATTAAATAAGAAACCAATAACAAGGATTTTCTTAAAAAATCTTCAAAAATTAAACATATTTGTAATTAAACTATGGGTCAAAGAGGAAATCACAAGGAAAATCTAACACATTTTGAACTGAATTCAATTGAAAACACAATCAAAATTTATCAGATGACATCAAATCATTGCTTAGAACAAAAATTATACCATTAAATACTTACCTTAGAAAAGAAAATCTCAAATCTAAGTTATCTAGGCTTCCTAAGAAACTAGAATAGAAAGAGTAGTTAAACCAAAACATGCAGAGTAAAGAAATAATAAAAAGAAGGGGAAAATAAATGGGGAAAAAAGCAGAAAAAAAAAGAGAAAAATCAATTATACTGCAAGACAATTACTTGAAAAAAATCAATAAAAGTGATGAAATTCTCCACAGACTCAGCAAGAAAAAGGAAAGATAGAAATTACGAATATCAGAAATGAAGAATTGTACATCACAATGAACCCTACAGAAATTTAAAGAGATAAAAAGGAACTCACTCCAGGTAACAGCATAAGCACATGCCACTCTTTCTCTACATTTGAACATACTATTTTACACTATTTTAATACTATATTATTAAACTCTCTAGCTCCATCCATGTAATTGCAAATGGCAAGATTTCATTTTTTATGGCTGAGTAATATTCTATTGTGTATATCCACATATTCTTTATCAGTTCATCTACCAATAGACATTTGGGCTCTTTCCATAATTTGGCTATTGTAGATAATGCAGCTATAAACATTTGGGTACATGTGTTCCTTTGAATAAGTATTTTTGTATCCTTTGGACAAATACCTACTAGTGCAGTTGCTGAACCACAGGGTAGTTCTATTTTTAACTTTCTGAGGACTCTCCATACTGTTTTCCAGAGTGGCTGCACCAGTTTGCATTCCAAACCTTGTGACTTGGTTCCTTTTTCTAAATATCCTCACCAACACTTGCTGTCTCTTGAGTTTTTTATTTTAGCCATTCTGACTGGTGTGAGGTGATAATTTATTGTAGTTTTGATTTGCATTTCCTTGAGGATAAGCGATGCTGAGCATCTATTCGTGTCTGTTGGCCATCTGGATGTCTTCTTTGGAGAAATGTCTGTTCATATCATCTGCCCATTTCTTAATTGGATTATTTGTTTTTGAATATTGAGTTGTATCAGTATTTTATATATTTTGTATACTAACCTTTTATCAGATATGTCATTTCGAATATGTCTTCTCCCATTCTATAGATTGCTTTTTAGTTTTGTTGATTGTTTCCTTGCCGTTCAGTTTTTTTTTTTTATTTTGATGCGGTCACAATGATTTATTTTTGCTTTTATTTCACTTGCCTCAGGAGACATATCTAGAAATGTTGACCTGTAGCTTTCTTTTCATAGTGTCTTTATATGGCTTTGGAATCAGGATAATATTGGCCTCACAAAGTGAGTTCAGGAGTGTTCCCTTCTCTTCAGTATTTTGGAGTTTGGGAAGGATTTGTGTTAATTCTTCTTTAAAGTTTTGGTAAGATTCACTGGGGAAACCATCTGTCTGGTCCTGGGCTTTTCTTTGTTGGGAGGTTTTTTGTTTTGTTTTGTTTTTTTAATCTATCTTTGTTTTTTATTAGGATGTTCAATTAGACAACATACATCATTAGTTTTTGATGCAGTGTTCAATGATTCATTAGGGAGGGTTTGGATTGCTGATTCAATCTCCTCATTTATTATCTGTTTACATATTCTATTTCTTCTTCCTGATTCAGTCTTGGTAAGTTGTATGTTTCTAGAAATTTACCCGGATGTGAGGGTGATCTGGCTGCGACATCTGTCACCCCATTGATCGCCAGGGTTGATTCGGCTGATCTGGCTGGCTAGGTGGGTGTCCCCTTCCTCCCTCACCACTCCATGTGTGTCCCTCCCGAAGCTGCATGCTCGGTCGAAGAGGATGACCTTCCCCGATAGAGGAGAGGACCATTCTTCAGTCAAGGGTATACGAGTAGCTGCGCTCCCCTGCTAGAACCTCTAGAAATTTATCTATTTCTTCCAGGTTATCTAATTTGTGTATAACTGTTCATGGTAGTCTTTTATGACAATTTGTGTTTCTGTAGTCTCAGTTGTAATACTTCAATTTCTGAATTTATTTCTGTCTTCTTTTTAATGTAGCTAAAAGGTTGTCAATTGTGTTTATCTTTTCAAAAAAGCAACTCCAAGCTTGTTGAACATTTCTATTATTTTCCAGGTCTCATTTTCATTTGTTTATGCTCTGATCTTACTTTTTTCCTTTTGTTACTTTGATCTTAGGTTTTGTTTCATTTTGTTTTGTTTTGCTTTTGTTCCTTGAGATGTAAAATTAGGTTGTTATTTGGGATCTCTCTTTTCTATAGAAGTAAAGGCTATAGCATAATTCCCTCTTAGAACTGCTTTTGCAGCAACCCATAGGTTTTGATGTATTGTAGGGTTTTTTGGATTTTTTTATTTAAATTCAATTAGCCAACAAATAGTACATCATTAGTTTTTGATGTAGTGTTCAAAGATCCCTTAGTTGCATATAACACCCAGCGTTCATCACATCATGTGCCCTACTTAATGCCTATCACCCAGTTACCCCAACCCCCCACCCCCCTCCCTTCCACAACCCTCAGTTTGTTTCCTGGAGTCAAGAGTCTCTCATGATTTTTCTCCCTTTCTGATTTCTTCCCATTCAGTTTTCCCTCCCTCCCCCTATGATCCTCTGCCTTATTTCTTATATTCCACATATGAGTGAAACCATATGATAATTGTTTTTCTCTGATTGACTTATTTCACCTAGGATAACACCCTCCAGTTCCATCTATGATTATGTAAATGGTATGTGTTCATCCTTTTTGATGGCTGAGTAATATTCCATTGTATATATGAGCCACATCTTTATCCATTCATCTGTTGAAGGACATCTCAGCTTCTTCCATAGCTTGGATATCGTGCACATTGTTGTTATGAACATTGGGGTGCATGTGCCCCTTCTTTTCACTACATCTGTATCTTTTTGGTAAATACCCAGTAGTGAAATTGCTGGGTCATAGAGTACCTCTATTTTTAACATCTTGAGGAACCTCCAAACTGTTTTCCAGTGTGGCTGTACCAGCATGCATTCCCACCAACAGTGTAAGAGGGTTCCCCTTTCTCCACATCCTTGCCAGCATTTGTTTTTCCCTGTCTTCTTAATTTTAGCCATTCTAACTGGAGTAAAGTGGTATTTCATTGTGGCTTTATTTATATTCCCCTGATGGCATGTGATGTGGAGCATTTTTTCATGTGTCTGTTAGCCATTTGTATGTCTTCTTTGGAGAAGTGTCTGTTCATGTCTTCTGACCATTTCTTGACTGGATTATTTGTATTTTGGGTGTTGAGTTTGATAAGTTCTTTATAGATATCGGATACCAGCCCTTTATTGTTATGTCATTTGCAAATATCTTCTCCCATTCCATAGGTTGCCTTCTAGTTTTGTTGACTGGTTCCATTGCTGTGCAAAAGCTATTTATCTTGATGAAGTCCCAAAGGTCATTTTTGCTTTTGTTTCCCTTGCCTTTAGAGACATGTCTTGAAAGAAGTTGCTGGAGCCAAGGTCAAAGAGGTTGCTGCCTGTGTTCTCCTCTAGGATTCTGATGGATTCCTGTCTCACTTTGAGGCCTTCCATCCATTTTGAGTTTATCCTTGTGTATGGTGTAAGAGAATGGTCCAGTTTCATTCTTTTACATGTGGCTGTCCAATTTTCCCAGCACAATTTGTTGAAGAGACTGTCTTTTTTCCATTGGTTATTCTTTCCTGCTTTGTCGAAGTTTAGTTGTCCATAGAGTTGAGAGTCCATTTCTGAGCTCTCTGTTCTGTTGCATTGATCTATGTGTTTGTTTCTGTGCCAATACCATGTTGTCTTAATGATCACAGCTTTGTAATATAGCTTAAAGTCTGACATTGTGATGTCCCCAGCTTTGGTTTTCTTTTTCAACACCCCTCTGGATATTTGGGTTCTTTTGTGGTTCCATACAAATTTTAGGATTGTTTGTACAAGCTCTGTGAAAAATGTCAATGGTATTTTAATAGGGATTGCATGAATGTGTACATCACTCTAGACAGCATAGACATTTTAACAATGTTTATTCCTCCAATCCATGAGTATGGAATGTTTTCCCATTGCATTGTGTATTCCTCAATTTCTTTCATAAGTGTTCTGTAGTTTCTAGAGTACAGATCCTTTATCTCTTTGGTTAAGTTTATTCCTGGGTACCTTACAGTTTTTGGTGCAATTGTAAATGGGATCAATTCCTTAATATCTCTTTCTTCAATCACATTGTTATTGTATAGAAATGCAACTGATTTCTGTGCACAAATACTGTATCCTGCCGTGTTGCTGAATTTCTGTATGAGTTCTAGCAATTTTGGGATGGAGTCTTTTGGATTTTCCACATAAAGTATCATGTCATCTGTGAAAAGATAGAGTTTGACTTCTTCTTTGCAAATTTGAGTGCCTTTTATTTCTTTTTGTTGTCTGATTGCTGAGGCTAGGACTTCTAGTACTATGTTGAACCACAGAGGTGAGAGTGGGCATCCCTATTGTTTTCCTGACCTTAACGGAAAAGCCATCTATGAAAAGCCCACAGCAAATATCATTCTCAAAGGGGACAATTGATTCATAATAACACCCCAAAAATTACATATTTAGGAATCAGTTTAAACAAGAAGGGAAAGATCTACACTGACAATTATAAGACTTGATAAAAGAAATTGAGGAAGACAGAAATAAATGGAAAGATATACCATAATAATAGATTAGAAAAATTAACAGTGTTAAAGTATCCATTCTACCCAAAATGATCTGCAAATCTAATGCAATTCTTGTCAAAATTCAAATGGCATTTTTCAGAAAAACCAAAAAAAAAAAAAAATCCTAAAATTTGTATGGGATGAAAAAGACCCCAAATAACCAAAGCAATCATGAGAAAAAAGAACAAAGTAGGAGGTATCACACTTGATTTAAAACTATTCCACAAAGCTATAGTAAGCAAAATAATATGGTACTAGCATATAGAAACATGAACTAATGAAACAGAATCAAGAGTCCAGGAATAAACCGTCACATACACAATCAACTAATATTTGAGAAAGGAGCCAAGAGTACTCAGTGGGGAAAGAAATATCTCTTCCATAATAATAGTATTGGAATAACTAGAAAAACACAGGTATAAGAATGAAATTAGACTCTTATTTTCCACCACTCACAGAACTTAATTCTAAATGGATTAAAGACTTAAACATAAGACTTGATACCATAAAACTAGATGAAAACATGGGGGGGATGTTCCTTAACATTGGTGTTCACAATACTTTTTGGATATGATACCAAAAGAACAAATAAGAAAAGCAAAAATCAACAAGTGGCACTACATCAAACCAAAAAGCTTCTGTACAGCAAGAGAAACATTAACAAAATGAAAAGACAACATAAACAATGAGAGAAAATATTTCAAAATCATATACCTGAAAAGGGGCTAGTATCCAAAATACATATTTAAAAAATCTTATACATTCAGTAGCAAGAAAAAGATCTGATAAAAAATAGAGGAACTAAATAGACATTTTTCCAAAAACGTACAAACTGTCACAGGTACATGAAAAGATGTTTAACATCAACATCACTAATCATCAGGAAATTCAAATCACCAAACCACAATGAGATATCACGTCACACCTGTTAGATTGACTGTTATCATAAAGATAAGACGTAAATGTTGGGGAGGATATGGAGAAAAGGGAACCGTTGCTTTCTGTTGTTGGGAATGTAAATTAGTACACCACTATAGAAAATGGTATAAGGTTCCTCAAAATATTAAAAATAGAACTACCATATGATTCAGCAATCCCATTTCTGGGTACATATCCAAAGGAATGTGCCAGGAATGGCCAGCAATCCCTGTACCAACAGATGAAAGATTACTCCAAACTTTGCTGTGAAAGAGAGGAGAAGGCAAGGGGGTCAACACTCAGAGACAAAGACCTTTTGCTCTTCTTTGCTCCCACTTTTATTGGTCTTTCAGGATAATCATAAATCTTTATCACTGTTTTTCAAGCACATGATGTGTGACAAGGGGTCTTACTGAAACTAGGAGGATCTGTTTATGGGAAAGATACGATATGCTAATCTGCATGTTCTATGAGTTCTGCTAAACATAGCCTAAGGGGCAATGCATACATCTCTTAGATCACAGGGTGGCTGTTTGGGCTAAGAATGCTTCGGGGAAGGCAACTCCCACCACATTCCTAGGGCACTGGGGTCACACAGGCCTGGGAATTCCAAAGGCCTACACCCTTCTCCAAATCCTTCCCTGCTCTCAGTGGCCTCCGTGTTACATTTTAGCAAGCCAGGTATTATGGATGATTTCATGCTGTACCTTAACCACAACAGAAGTGTAATTAGATCTTGAGAGATATCTGCACTCATATATTAATTGCAGCATTGTTCACAATAGCCAAGATATGGGAAAAACCTAAGTGTCCATCAATGGATGAATGAATCAAAGAGAGTTGGTGTATATTTATATATACACCATATATATACATATTCATTCATATATGTATATATGACTATATGAAAGATGGAAATCCTGCCATTTGCACAACATGGATGGACCTTGAGGCCGTTATGCTAAGTGAAATAAGTCAGACTGAGAAAGATAAATACTAAACAAAAATCACTATATGTGGAATCTAAAAAAGTCAAACTCATAGAAACAGAAAGTAGAATGATGGTTACCAGTGACTGAGGGGTGGGGGAAATGGAGAGATATCAATCAAAGTATAAAAACTTTCAGTTTTAAGATGAATAAATCTGAGTGATCTAGTGGTGATTATATACTGAAATACTATATTATATACTTGAATGTTGTAAGAAAGTAGATATTAAAGGTTCTCAACACAAAAAAGAAATGGTAATTATGTAAGGTGATAGAAGTGTAAGCTAAAGCTACCCTGGCAATCATCACAA